ATAGAGGGCCATGAGACATAGACCTGAGTGCAACAATGGAGGCTCTAGACCCTTCCAGTGCTGAGATATCGAAACTCAAAATTTCGACCCGAAAAAAAAACGACAGTGTTACCCCTTACGTTTTTTTTTTAGGCGAAAAATTAAGTATCCCCAATCTTCTCAAAACTCTGGATTCTGATAGAGGGCCATGAGACATAGACCTGAGTGCAACAATGGAGGCTCTAGACCCTTCCAGAGCTGAGATATCGAAATTCAAAATTTCGACCAGAAAAAAAAAAAAACGACAGTGTTACCCCTTACGTTTTTTTTTTGGGCGAAAAATTTAGTATTCCCAATCTTCTCAAAACTCTGGATTCTGATAGAGGGCCATGAGACTTAGACTTGAGTGCAAAAATGGAGGCTCTAGACCCTTCCAGAGCTGAGATATCGAAACTCAAAATTTCGACCCGGAAAAAAAAATGACAGTGGTACCCCTTTTGTTTTTTTTTTCAGGTGAAAAATGAAGTTTCTCCAATCTTCTCAAAACTCTGGATTCTGATAAAGGTCCATGCGACTTAAACCTGAGTGCAAAAATGGAGGCTCTAGACCCTTCTAGAGCTGAGATATCGAAAATCAAAATTTCGACCAGAAAAAAAAACGACAGTGTTACCCCTTACGTTTTTTTTTTGGGTGAAAAATTAAGTATCCCCAATCTTCTCAAAACTCTGGATTCTGATAGAGGGCCATGAGACTTATACCTGAGTGCAACAATGGAGGCTCTAGACCCTTCCAGAGCTGAGATATCGAAATTCAAAATTTCGACCAAAAAAAAAAACGACAGTGTTACCCCTTACGTTTTTTTTTGGGCAAAAAATTTAGTATCCCCAATCTTCTCAAAACTCTGGATTCTGATAGAGGACCATGAGACATAGACCTGAGTGCAACAATGGAGGCTCTAGACCCTTCCAGTGCTGAGATATCGAAACTCAAAATTTCGACCCGAAAAAAAAAACGACAGTGTTACCCCTTACGTTTTTTTTTGGGCGAAAAATTAAGTATCCCCAATCTTCTCAAAACTCTGGATTCTGATAGAGGGCCATGAGACATAGACCTGAGTGCAACAATGGAGGCTCTAGACCCTTCCAGTGCTGAGATATCGAAACTCAAAATTTCGACCCGAAAAAAAAAATAACAGTGTTACCCCTTACGTTTTTTTTTTTTTTTGGGGCGAAAAATTAAGTATCCCCAATCTTCTCAAAACTCTGGATTCTGATAGAGGGCCATGAGACATAGACCTGAGTGCAACAATGGAGGATCTAGACCCTTCCAGAGCTGAGATGTTGAAACTCAAAATTTCGACCCGAAAAAAAAAACGACAGTGTTACCCCTTACGTTTTTTTTTTTTGGGTGAAAAATTAAGTATCCCCAATCTTCTCAAAACTCTGGATTCTGATAGAGGGCCATGAGACTTAGACCTGAGTGCAAGAATGTAGGCTCTAGACCCTTCCAGAGCTGAGATATCGAAAATCAAAATTTCGACCCGTAAAAAAACCGACAGTGTTACTCCTTGCGGTTTTTTTTGGGACGAAAAATTAAGTATTCCTAATCTTCTCAAAACTCTGGATTCTGATAGAGGGCCATGAGACTTAGACATGAGTGCAACAATGGAGGCTTTAGACCCTTCCAGAGCTGAGATATCGAAATTCAAAATTTCGACCAGAAAAAAAAACGACAGTGTTACCCCTTACGTTTTTTTTTGGGGGGCGAAAAATTAAGTATCCCCAATCTTCTCAAAGCTCTGGATTCTGTTAGAGGGCCATGAGACTTAGACCCGAGTGCAACAATGGAGGCTCTAGACCTTTCCAGAGCTGAGATATCGAAAATCAAAATTTCGACCCATAAAAAAAAACGACAGTATTACCCCTTACGTTTTTTTTTTTGGGGCGAAAAATTAAGTATCCCTAATCTTCTCAAAACTCTGGTTTCTGATAGAGGGCCATGAGACATAGACCTGAGTGCAAAAATGGAGGCTCTAGACCCTTCCAGAGCTGAGATATCGAAAATCAAAATTTCGACCAGAAAAAAAAAACGACAGTGTTACCCCTTACGTTTTTTTTTGGGGCGAAAAATTAAGTATCCCCAATCTTCTCAAAACTCCAGGATTCTGATAGAGGGCCATGAGACATAGACCTGAGTGCAACAATGGAGGCTCTAGACCCTTCCAGGGCTGAGATGTCGAAACTCAAAATTTTGACCCGAAAAAAAAAAAAACGACATTGGTACCCCTTTCGTTTTTGTTTTTTTTTTCGGGCGAAAAATGAAGTTTCTCCAATCTTCTCAAAACTCTGGATTCTGATAGAGGGCCATGAGACTTAAACCTGAGTGCAAAAATGGAGGCTCTAGACCCTTCCAGAGCTGAGATATCAAAATTCAAAATTTCGACCAGAAAAAAAAAACGACAGTGTTACCCCTTACGTTTTTTTTTTTTTTTGGGCCAAAAATGAAGTATCCCCAATCTTCTCAAAACTCTGGATTCTGATAGAGGGCCATGAGACATAGACCTGAGTGCAACAATGGAGGCTCCTGACCCTTCCAGAGCTGAGATATCGAAAATCAAAATTTCGACCCGAAAAAAAAAAAACGACAGTGTTACCCCTTACGTTTTTTTTTTGGGGGGGCGAAAAATTAAGTATCCCCAATCTTCTCAAAACTCTGGATTCTAATAGAGGCACTGGTGATTCTAGGGGGTCAGGGCCACCCCTGAAAGCTCATTGGCCACCCCTGTGGCCACCCCAGATCTGATAGGTAGTTGGTCAAGTTCGTCAACACAAGACACAAGAGAAATGCTGTCAATCAATGGTGACAGCTGATCAACCGATTTAGGTCCAGTTTTACCTTTTTTAATAACACAGTAATAGTCATACCGAGGCTCTGAGAGCTGATTTCTGCTCAGCAGACGTTTGGCCATGCCGGTCAGGTTACTAATGAGATGCGCGCGCTGGCTGCTGCTCCGTGAAACAGGTGGACAGTCTTGCAACAGCAACAAATACAACGATAAAAACGCGGGAATCTGTAGATTGAGAGGTATGGTAATTTAATGTTTAGTTATATCGTAGTTCCCTGTGAATGTGTAGGAAAACTGAAAAAGTCGAACTACACTGTACTAGCTATAGCATCCTGAGAGAGTGCAGACGGTAAAGAGGACGCGTGCAGATCTTATTTCCACTCATACATCGCCATGAAATATAAAACGCTATTTTCTGGAAGACAGATGGTGTTTTTTGCAGATGTGTGTGTTCAATTATAGCTAATGTTATATTTTTCGCCAACCAGTGTGTTAATATAGTGTGACAGTAGATTTAAGTTAAAACACAAAAAAAGCTGTGACTTATTTATTTGCTCTGTGGTTTAAGGGGAGTTTAAAAAGGACTTTTTGTTTGTGTCAATTAGCTCATCTTCACAGTCCACATATATTTTTAGAAGTTTAAATAGGCAGAGTAAATTGCATTAAAATGGCACAAATGTCATAAGTTAAATTATGAAGAAGGATCTTAACTATTTATAATTTTAAGTCTTAACTTTTTGATTTTAAAAACGTATAATGTATGCTGAATCAAAGCCAACGTTTCAATTTATACTTTCATCAAGGCCTTGGACATGAATACTGTCTGGGTTGAAAAACACTTTTTGCACATTTTCATACATCACAATATGGAAGGTTATGTGTAGCATTATTCAATTTGAAATGTAATATGCAAAATGACAATGCAATATGTAAAATGGCATTGCATTTTGTATTTAAATTTACATTTTACATTACCATTTTAGCAACGTTTGGTGCAAAATGAAAATGAAATGACAATTTACATTTGCCAAAATGTAAATTTAAATACAAAATGCAATGCCATTTTACATATTGCATTGTCTTTTTGCATATTACATTTCAAATTGAATAATGCTACACATAAGCTTCCACAAAGTTCAAGGGTTTATTGGATGGGTTTTTATTATAGGTTTGGTTTTATTTGTTGGAAAAATAAATATAAAAATATAATTTGACACAAGAGGGCAGTATAGCCCTATTTATGGTTTTGTTAAACCGTGACATCTACACGTTTTCCAAAGTGGACCAACGTGATTTCACGTCTTGTCGTGATACCGGGGTGCGGCTGGCCGTGTATTTTCCATGTGCGGCCCACTTGACCGCAGTCTCAGAACAGCGCATCAGCAGTGAACGCAAACATGTTTAACCGGCAAGGCTTTAAGCACATGCAAATTAACTTTTGTGAACTCGCTGAACTGATGTAACGTTAGCCGTTCCTCTGCGTTAATAGTGCGAGTATTTGTCGCGTTAAAGTTACACTAATGGCAGTGCTGTTGAGACGGAGGTGTCAGAACTGCAACTGACAGAATGCACGATATTTCTACAAAAGCAGTCAGCAGCTTGATTGGAGCAAGAATCATAGCGCAAATTTGAACTATATCGATATATCGCCCAGCCCTGGTGACCTGTGATGTTCTTGTCAACTGACGACGATACTCAGCGCGAGAGCGACTGATACGAAATTGAGCAGGTGAACAAGCTGAACCAATTAGACATTCTCTCTATAGACATTTCACAAGATGTAAACAACACTGGTCCAGAAGCACTTCCTGTTTCAGTTTGTAACTGCTTTCTTTATTTCACATGTAAAGAAAACATCTTAAAAATGTTTGTTTCACTTTTTGATTCAGTTTTACATGTTCTGCTGTTTGTATTTTATCCCAGCTTTTATGTAGTGTTAAAAAACTGAAACAGGAGTGCTTCTGGACCAGTGTTGTTTACATCTTGTGAAATGGTCTATATACGTCCTTGTTGATACTTTGAAAGGAACTTTCTGTATGTCAGCCAGTTATGGGTTATGTGCTCTTATTCTCTCCTTTTCAGTCCGGCTGCCGACACCAGTCCCCCTCTTTCTTCTTCTTTTTTTGATTCACGTAGGTCACATTTTCAGGTCGGAAAATCCAGAATTCCGGATTAATCCGGAAAAATCACATCCCTGTTTATTGAACTTTTAATACCAAAAATTTTTTTACAATAAAAGTATATTTTTAGGAGGTACTTCTATAGAAATGACAAACATAATTTGTTGAAAACATTTAAGTGGACTAAGCCTAAAGGTTTTGAACAAACAAAAGGCAAAACCAACAAACATTTACAAATACATATAAATACATTATAATTTAAAGACACCTCTCACATAGACATGTCAGAGTCTGATCACCACATTATTTCATCCTTCCATGAAATGAAGCCGAAATCACTTTGGTGAATCTCTGGAATGTCTTATAAACCAATTCTGAGAGTAAAAACGTAAATATTTATAAACTTGGTGCATATTCAATATTTCAAGTGTCCTGGTTTGGTTCCAGCGTAGTTCCTTGAAACCTACAGTGCAGCTACATTTTATAGACCTGGTTGTGCATAGATGTCACACTGACAGACAGACTGGGCCATCACAATCCGTCTTGATAAACAGAGCCTCGCCCGACCGCTGGTTTACTGTCTGGCATCCAGCGGCTGAAGGAGTGCATCCGTACGCTTCTTGAGCCTCGGTTAGCTGAACCAGGCAGTATCAGTATTTGAGAGCAGGATCAGTCCACATCCTGTTCCACACACTTCCAGATAGTCACCGTTACTTGTGTAGTCATTCAAAATCGTCCTCGTATTCATATTCATCCAAGTCCAGATTACTGTGAGGGTTGGGAATCTCAAAGAGATGTCTCTTCTCGCTCCGAAGGTCAAAGGCACATGTAATGTGATCAACTGGGTCCAGAGCATTGTCATAGCTAAAAAAAAAATCAAAACACAGTATTGGGTTACAAAATATCATAATGCAGTGATTCATCTCAGAACTGGCCAGTTTCGTTCAATACTCATGGAGAAAAATGGAAAAAACACAATTTTTACTATACCAACTAAATGGCAAATGGATAAGGAACTGGTGTAAAAAAAAAGACACCCGACAATACTGAAAAGAGTTTGTTGGAAATTTTAGCACGTAAAACAAGTCCGATATCTGATGAGCAAAACGTGGAGGACCCCACAACGGAACAGAAGTGGAGGAGAACATGAGAGGAACCTCAACCTGCACCTACAGTGTCTTACCTCTTTCAACTCTACTCATCCTGCCATTAGAAGTCAGTGCTGATCCTAAAATCGTCACACAAAACCTCATCAGCCCTTCGATCACTGACTAAATGACACAAGTGGATTGATGTTATTAAACTGCAGCATGAGGTGAAGGACTGAGTCTACACATGTGGCTTAGAGGTTGTTTCCAGCTGCACGCTCATCTATGATACTGCGCACTGATACAAATGTGGTCAGAGTATATACGAAACATCCTTACCCATCGTTATAGTGCTCGTTCGCAGTTTCCTCTGCCACCAAGTTATCATACTCCTCTGCAGCATATCTCTCCCAGTCAGAAATCTCCTGTCCCATTGTCTCGGTATCCTATAAAATGACATACAAAGAACACCAAACTTATTACAGGATCTAAGTGACCATAATAGCAATAAAATTATATAAATAATCTGTTGTTCATTACCCTTGCAGCCATTAAGGGATCCCTCTGTTCGTGCTCTAGGTACTTCTCAATGTTGAAGAACGTGTCAAAGAAAATATGGGAAAGCTTACACCGCTTCAAGTCCCTGAGAGTGATCTTTCCTAACAAAAATCAGAGCACATGGTTACTGTTTTGTTTACTTTTGCTAGGAAGACATCATTCTGAAGTAAAGGATAAAATACCTAGAAAGCTTGATACAAGAAAAAGTTATTCATCTTTTCAAATAATACCTGGGATTTCTGGCTTGACCATGTCTAACATTTGGCACAGGCAGTCCTCGAAAGGCAATGGTTCAATGGCCAAAGCCTCAAGCTTCTGACACTGTTCCTGGTAGAAGTACTGAAGTTCATACATGGACAGAACTCCATCCCCATCCAGATCCATACAGCGAAACCAGTACTCTATGCTACACAAGCAACAAATAAGAAAGAATTGACTAATTAATGATCAAAGCAGTTGTTAGTTACAACCTAACATTTTATTTTGATAAAAACCCACCAAATCGTTAACGAAATCTACAAGCTATAATAATAAAAAAAAAAGATTTTCAATTACCTGGTCTCAGTCTTTTTATCCTCCTCAGATATGAGGAACCACACGAAGTCAGCATAGTTTAACTTGGCCTCTTTATGAACCTTTCTGTCCCTGAGCATCAGAGAATAATTAACCACAGCACTCTATAACAATATGATACATTACACGCACGCTACACGAGGGAACAAAAGTCTGTAAAATGAAAGATGGTACCTGGATATAGCTCCAGAGAATAGCCTCTCAATCATTCGGTTGGAAATGGCTGTCAAAGAGAACAGAAAAATCACATCACAGTCTTATCCTTTATGCTTAAATAGGGTAATAATTCGCTGTCAAAAAGGTTGTAAATATTGTACATTGCAGCAGTAAGACACAGTGATTTAATATCCTTATTTTATCATTTTAAAGACACAGCGATGTCTGAAAGGAGATAAAATTATCAGAGTGCCAGACATGCCGTCATGGTAGAGGAAATTGATGTTCAAATTTCAGCGCACTTCATTCAATTTACTAAGCTCATACTGCAGCAAACAGAAACACATGCAGTCAAGTGCTGCTGGAGGCGATGGATATTTCAAGTCACCTCCAACGAAAAGCAGACAATCGTTAAACAGCATGTCAGAAGAGTGAAATGCTTTTTAAAACCGCGGCGGGTGGATGGGTACCTTGATCGTTATGTCGCGTCAGGTCTCTCTGGTCTATGTACAAGTCGTGATCCGTGTCCAGCTCCCAAAACTTACAGTAGATGACATAAAAATGTTCATAGGAGAAGAACTCCGTTAACTCATTAATCTCTTCCTCCTCTTCCAGTAATGCCACATTCTGTTGGGAAACATTTTTACCGTTAAACAATGGAAAAGCTTAGTCACATAAATTATAGGTAGGCCCGCCTGGTGATACCATATACCATTTACATATTGCATTCAAAATTAAAGCTAGGTGCTTCCACCAGATAGCCTTAAAAAGCAGCGTGAGAGTTAAATCTATTGCAATTGATAGTAATTAACTATTAACATAAAATCATATTTAAAATCTACAATGATAATATATAAATCAGCCATTAATCTAAAATAATATTAATGTGAGTTAGGTTTAAAAAAAAAAAACATCTGTCTATTTTAAAACACTATATATTGAGAAAACACCATCTTTTTGTTTATTTTAGTTACATCAGTTAGTATGACAATTAACTGTCAAATGTTCATTACAGTCCTAGATAGACTAACAACACATTTACCTGTAAAAAACTACTTCGCCTGAGTTCTGGACATGTTATTTTTCCAGTCCATGAGCGGTTTACATTATAAAATATCCTTTGGACTACCTGTTGGCAGAAGAAGCACTTTGTTGAACATCAGGCTCATCGAGATATCGGTCAACTGTCCAGACTTTTGGTGTACCAAAACAATAACCGTATAGCCTAAATAGTTATTTGAAGTGTGCAAATCTGTTTCATATACAAAAAGAAAAATACTACTACCAGCTGATTGGTATCTAGAACAATATTGGAAGAATTCCTTACAGTTGTAATGTAGCGTGAGTGAAAGTCTGAAGCCTCCTTTAGAAATGCCAGACCTGCATGTGAATCCACTACATCCTTAAAAAAAAAAAAAAAAAACACATTATAATGATTCATACATACACCAATATAACATCAAAGTCAGCATATAATAACAGACACTGCTTACATAAAAAAAAAAAAAAGCCTAGTGTTAAATCCATTTGTGTGCAAAGAGGCTCTGGATTAGATTACAGAGAAAAGGCGAATCATTCTGTCCACTTGCAGAGGATAATGTTTTGGTACAAGACCGACGTGTGGAAATGTTAAAGGTATTAAACCTCTAAGAACAAAGGGCTGATTTTAAGGCCTCAGTTTCAGTCTCTGCATATATATGGCCCACTGACTTTTCCTATCAAGTGCATTCATCAGCAGAGAAGCAAAGCTTTTTCTCATGCATGTTTCATAGTCAAATATTGGTATACATGCGTAAAAAGTGATAAATTGCGACAACTTATTTTAGGGGAGGTGCGGGACTCTTTGACCCTTCCCCATGTGAAATTAAACAATAGAAAAACACATAAATCACTGCTGTAAAGGAGCAGACGGGAACAGGCCAATCTACTCCATAGCAATACTTTTTTCATTCATCAAAACGGTCAAAGCAATTGCTAAAGCTACACAATACAAATTAAAGCGCAGACGCCAGAATAGATCTCTTCCACTGTGCACGGCCAATCCTGCCAGTGAATATCAATGACATGTCCATCACTGAACTCGAAGAATGCACTTCTGCGCACAATTATTTTAGGACATTTAGTGCCACATTTGGAATTTTGCAAGTACATAAAAACACGGAATGAGAGCAAATAACATGAAGCCGAAATATCGATGCTCAGCATGTTTTGACGTGTGTTCTCAGTGGTAGGTCCAACACTCTCTACCTGCAGGAATGGAATAAAGTCCTCTTGTTCCAAATAATTGCAGCCAGGCTTGGCCAGAAGGTGAAGAAATTTGGATGCGTCATCATGACAGGTCTGAAGCACTCTGTGGAGAGGAAACAGATGGTTTCAGGCTCCATCTCACCCTTTCAAAGAGCAATATAGTCTCCAAAACCCTTCACTTTAAATATGTGGCTTTGGATTAATGGCATCTACAAATGAGGCTCTGGAATTCACGCTCAGCCAGTTCTGATGTACAATGGAGGAATAATCATAAAACATTTTCTTTTTTTTTTCTTTTTTTTTTACCTTTACAGACTCAGGGACCACCACCCCCCCCACCACCCACCCAAATGCATTAATAATATAGAAGTTAATAATTTTTTGTTTGTTTGTTTGTTTGTTTTTTCATTATATATTTGAAGGAAAATCTAATAAGTTTCATATATCCGTTCACGGAACCCCAGCAGGATTGTTGAAAACTTGAATGAGTGTATACACGACAGTACCCTCCCCTTCTCCAAAAACAAAAACAAAACCACAAACCTCTGCAGGGACACCTAAAATAAACTGCAGTATCATACCAAAATTGTACACAGAGAGCTCACAACACTTCAGCTCTTGATAAAAGGACATTCACACACTTGTGTAGCCACTGACCACTGTAGACATTAATGTGAAAGGGCATTGTGAAGAGAACTATTGTCTTACTTTCGCCACATTGCCACAAACTTGTGAACGGACACATATCCCCTCCTGTCTCCTCCGGCAGCATGGAACAATGGAGCTTTCCAATAGAGTGGGCACTCACAGGCCTGCAAAGAGACAAAAGGGTCACACAAAAATAGACCTCAGGGTGACAAAATAGGTCAAGATGTCATGATTTCTATCTAATTCATTAAGTGCCAAACAAACTGTAAAGTTTTGAGATTAGAAAGTTACAGAAGAATAACTTCTGCAACTCTTTAATCATTCTACAAACCCAATTCCATAAAAGTTGGGACACTGTACAAATTGTGAATAAAAACAGAATCCAATGATGTGGAAGTTTCAAATTTCAATATTATATTTAGAATACAATATAAATGACATATCAAATGTTGAAAGTGAGACATTTTGAATTGCCATGCCAAATATTGGCTCCTTTTGGATTTCATGAGAGCTACAAATTCCAAAAAAGTTGGGACAGGTAGCAATAAGAGGCCAGAAAAGTTAAATGTACATATAAGGAATAGCTGGAGGACCAATTTGCAACTTATTAGGTCAATTGGCAACATGATTGGGTATAACATGATTGGGTATATTGCATTCTGTTTTTATTCACAATTTGTACAGTGTCCCAACTTTTATGGAATTGGGTTTGTATTTTAAACAAGCAATTCAGCACAATCAGAGGTTTCTAAGTGCTTGAACACTGACTACATCTTTCACATATGCAGTAGCAAACTGAGCTAATTAGCGAAGACTGTTTTTAAATAAATCTGTTTAAATTTCTGAACCCTGTCGTTAAACTAGACGGCTTCTCCTCAGGATAAATAATTCAACACATAACAGAGATGATATTTCTCCATCTACAGGAAAACCTTCAGACTAGTAAACAGTAATAAGTTACACAAATGAACAATTTGCTGAGCAGGTAAAGGTGGCACGTTACAATCCACACTTACCTTGGCAACTAGCCCCATGTCTTTAATAGTGACTCTTTCATCAGGAAATTGAGAAAACATTTGTTCGATCTTGGAAATGAGATTGTCTATGTTGATGTTGGCCTGGGGTTGTCCTCGAGGGAAGTAGAACTTTGGAATGCTTTCACTTAAAGCTGGTGTCACGGGCTCCTCTTTCTTAGCCTGCGCCTGCTGAACGGACAGAATTAATAACCATTAGCCACAAGACTCATCATTGGCTGCTCTGAAAATTTCACCTCAATCAGCATTTCACAGTGATGGATTAATTTAGGCGCGTTACTTCCCAGCATCCGTAAAACACAACACAAAAGAAATTTGACCGATGCACACCTCGCAAATGACTTTGAGGAAGCTAAGGCTTGCAATATTTTTTGGGATACCTATTACACATGATGCAGTACCCAAGACAAGGATAAGAACATGTCGTGGATAATTGTTTGAAATATTAGCAGTGATTAATTAATGCCTTCATTTGATCTTAATACACTAATATATCAAATATACTCATATTTAAAAAAAAAAAAAAAAAAATTGTCAATTATTTGCTGGAATGTTCTGAAAGAACAGTTTTAAAGTTAGGGTTAGCACATTAGGGTAAACATAACTGTTTGAAACATTAACTTGCTAAGACAGCATCAGATATAAACTATTGGATTGGTTATACATTTTGTAATCAAGCATTTAATTACACTGACTAAAAAAATAAATAAATCTAAAAGAGTTTATAAAACAAGTGGAACAATCAGAGACAAATGTTGGTATTTGCTTGGAAAAGCCATGCCTGGCTGAAACATTGAAGTAGTTAAAAAAACCTTGACATTTGTAGAACAGGCTGAATGACTGCAGAGTTTGAAATCTCCAAAGTAGTTACATTTAAAAACAAAGACATCATACTGTTATTGTGTACACTTCTCTCAATGACAAAACGTCCTTCGTGCCCAAATGTTTTGTGAACACTTGTGGTTAAATTCCTCATATTACTGATTTTCCAAAGGCTCAACTTCCCACAGTAACTTAAAACCTCAACTATTTGAGTGTCAAGCTGCAGCTGTGAAGATCTTGACCCCCCTAGAACTTACACAGAGGAGAAAAAAAAAAAAAACTCCATCAAAGCCCACTCTCTTGAATAAGCAACATTACATTTAATACATTATGTAGCATTTCTGTATTAGACACATACATGTTGACTTCAGACAACTCGACCCTTACCGTACAGAAGTTTTATACTGAGGGATACAAATATTTTGTACATCAAGGGAATGACTTCGGTGACAATATTTGGTTCTTGTGAGATGCAAGCTGATCATATAACCATCATTTACTCGGGCAGAAAATTCACAATATTTTTATTGTTACTCCTTCCAAATCCACTGTAAACCTCTCAGTCCAGAGGTGCATTCACGTTAATTTTAATTTATTTCATTAATTTGGCATGACATTAAATGTAATAATTCAATTATTAAATAAGCAGGACCTGGAGTCTGCTGCATTGCATACACAAATGCATTTCATGCAATAGAAAGCAACAGTAAATACCTAATTTAGTGGGCTTTATATTTAAACTTAAACTTATATATTTTAAAATTATTTTCTTCCCTAAGATTTCAAAAACTTATACCGGATATATGGGTTCCTACACATTTGATTTAAAAATACTATACTTTTCCAGTCTCAAACTTCCAAACCTGTCTGTAGATTTTTCACACCATATTTAACATAAATGGTTCATACAGCATTATATTTGGCATATAATACTGTAATCCTTTTATAAATACTTTTTTCTTTTCTTTTTTTTCATTGGTTTTCACAAAGTTGTTAATATGCCCTTACATGATGAGAAGAACCTAAAATGCTTTATTATAACCTGAATATATTTCACCTCTGCTCTGACACATCAATTGAATTCTGTAAATGTGGTTTGATGTGGCACAATCACCAAACAGTAAAGTGCAGTCTGATTTAAATAACCATTTTCTCATTTATCCGTTGCTAGTTTGAGTGGCACACACACACACACACACATTAGTGAGGTTCAAAGAGACTCGCTTATGGTAAAGACAAACTGTTTTGTGTAATGAAAATGTGTGCCTTGAATTCATTCAGTCATGTCGATAATCACAAAACGATCATTAAACTTGTGCCGTAAATCACCCTGCTTGTAAGAGAACTATGTATTTATTTATTTATTTTTAAAATCTTAATTTTATATTTTAGAAAAATGAATGGGGCAATAGTCTCTCAAAAAACAAAAATATTTTTCCATACTTATCCAGATTCCAGACTAGAAATTACTGAAATTAAATTCCATCCATACTTTTCCAAACTGCGTAGGTAGGAATCCTAATAATTTTAAACAAAACAAAAGAAGTATTTGAAAACCAAGAAGTGCAATTGAATTATTTTCAAGTCGGTAGTCATTTTTGTGGGTTAATAAAAAAATCATAAGTCCATATTGCAACTTCGTGCACTATATGGAGCAATAAAAACAGCACAGTGAGCACATGGGCACAGCCATATTTCTTCTCAGTAAACACCTTTAGGAACTGTTTACATGTCTAACAAAATTTGATGACTTTGTAATCTTAGGTGTCATTTAATCCTGACTGTTTACTTCTTGCTTTACTCTCCTGTGATCTCATTCTAGAGACATCCACAATGTATGTCCAGCAATAAACCACTGTTATTAATCAGTAAAAGCAGTGACAACTTAAGCAACAAACTAGACTTTTGCTTTTAAAAACACTAACACTAACCTATATGGAAGTTTGGAAGCTTAACGCATTTAGAAAGTCTCTCTGATGTGGCATGCGAGGGATTCTGCTCAGTGTAAACCACTGTGAGAGATGCATGCATTTTATCTAGCCTTCTCCAGTCAGTGTCAGCCATGTCTATAAAAGGCAATGACCATCATCAACTCCAGCACAGAGCCATTGCCCCATCTTAAACATTTGGATGCTCTAAAAACGATGATAATCCTCTGGTCTAAGTTATTCTATACATGTAAAACATTTTGTTTTGCAAAATGCCATTGCTATGATTACACACCTCAGGAACGCAAACATCAGATCACATCGTCACCGAGACTGACAATTGCCAGCAATAAGCAAAAACAAAAGCTTTGATGGTTTCACACAGAACATATAAGACCACCTGCCTGTCCTTGCTGGAAGGCTTTGAGCCTCTTCTTAAAGCGAGAGGGCAGCACAAAGTCGCAGCCGCGAGCCAGCAGTGCCAACTCCTTCCTCAGGTCAGGGTCCTGTCGTAAAGAGATCTCCTTCATTCTCATACTGCTGTCAGCTAATGGAGCCAGTGTGGCAGACAGTACGCACTCTTGGGTCAGAATAATCTCGTCCAGTGACTGTCCCACCACAGGACACTCCTCTGCCTGTCTTTATCAAAGCACCAGCTCTCTTAATGGTGAGCGGCAGCTGCTCTCCTCAACTGTGCAATAGCCTGAATCACAGCCCTGCCTGTTGCTCCACACATCCGATAGTGGCTGGTAGAGGTCACAGTCCTATCCTGAAAAGTCACTGTGGGTAGATAGGACGAGGGTGTCTGTGTGAGAGCAGTGGAGTGCTGAGGTGGATCTGCCCTTTTCAGTGTGCATTCCACAGCTCTCCTAGAGGTTATGTAAAGACACAAATCTGTTCACTTTGAACCCTGATTGCAGCAACCAAGAACAATACTGATAACTGCAATAGGATGCAACATTTTGATAGATCAGCATACTTTCACATCTATGGAGAGCAATCCAAAGATGTACAATTTGGGATGCGAATTCTTTTCACAACATACAGACCATTATTAAATCATAAAAATTCTGTCATAATTCACTCTCATTTTGTTGCTTCTTTTTTTCGTGTACTGCAGAAAGTCTGGAAACACAGCCATCCCTTTAACTGTTAAGCCTTAAATCAAACGCATGATCCAAAAGACATTAGCTAAACATGTTTCTTTAAAAAGGGCAACATGTCCTTTGTCCTCAGCCTAGATTCTTATTTTGCACGTCTTGTGGACGTTAGTGGAACTGCATTGTAATTTAGCACAGTTTTTATAAATGCATTTTTGTTTTTTTATCCCAGAGGTCACGTAAACAAAAACTAATTTAATTCACTGCATTGCATGTTTGGTGATTTTATATGATAAGGGCTGAATGCACTTTGCAACAAAAACGTGTCGTACAACATCAACCAATCAGCTGTGTGGGGTGGTTAAGACAGTGATATTAGAAGAAAAGCACAGATTAAAGACAACTATGGACCCATTCTGAATCTAAATCACTATATAGTGCAGGGGTCGACAACATTTTTGTCATGAAGTGCCATTAAGTTTCTGAGTTAATCACTGTGCCAAAATCTCACTCCAATATGTATAAATAAATAAACACATATTTTAAATATTAATTATGGCTCACATAGAAATAGTGCAGAACCTTAAATTTCTGAATACATTTTTCATAAAATGTGTTTTACTTCAGCTATGTGCTTCAGGATCAGACGGAGAACTTTGTTTAAAGTTCGCTTTACCTTCTTGAAGGATGCTCAGCTACTTCTCTGGGGCGATGCATGTTGCAGTAGTGCAGTCGTTAGTCGCTGCGTAGAGTCGTTAAAAAAACGCTTGCATGTTTAGTCTTTACCATTTTAGGAGGAGAAAAATTTACATTTGTGAGTTCAACAACAGATGCACCTTGTCCAGTTTCATCTGGATTGCGAAAAAATATCCTCTCTTTTGTTTTTGTTTTTTGTGTGATTGGAAGACATGAAGTGCAGGTACACACGAATGGTGTTACCATGATGCATCACATTTATTTTGTTGTGTGAGGAATGTATAATAAGGACAGGACACTATACTGAATTTCTAAGAAATGTATAGCTAATAGTCACACAATTGGTTTGTCGATCTGTGCGCTTTGACTTCTGCGCAGTTTAATTCAAACTCTTTAATAGCATGTATAATTCCTACCTTAATATAACAAGCTGTAACTAGAGGAAGGAAGGATTATAAATTCTCTAATATTAACACAGAGATTTTCTTCACACGCAGTATGAGTTACGGTCTGACGCATTTTCCTGCCCCTTTTGATTGACAGGATATAATCGGCCCTGATAATCGACTGTTTTTAAACAATTGACAGATGGCTGATAGTGAAAATAATATAAAAATAATGTTCCATTTCTCTCGCTTAGTCTCGCTTTCTGATTAGGAACAGCATAGCATTCCTGTGTGAAATAAATAATTTTTAAAGTCTTTATCAACAAAGTGTTTACTACAAAGTGTTTAAAGTCTCTATCAACAAAGTTTTTACATTTAAAAGTGTTTTTAAATGTAAAATCAGTGCATAGTCTTCACTGTACTAAATGACTTAATGCAATTTTAATAACTTTTTTTTAAATTATCTATAACGTCCTACAGTTTAGCAAAAATAGACTATATCTAGCTGATTTGAACATTACGTTTGGGCTTTTTTTTAGGGAGGAAAGAATGTCCCACTGTGAAGGAAAGAAATCACAACACTAATTTATTGCTATCATTGCTGTAGGGTTGTTGTTGCAATGTCTCTCTTCTGATTTCAAATAGTTGAATAAATAAGTCTGGTTACCATCTACATACCCAAGGTCAATTTAATCCCGTATAGCAGAACACAAAGCCGAAGCTAAACTTAAATAAAAAAATACACAAGTATTACTGCCTTATGTTTTGTTTATTTTGCTTTCCAAGGCTACAGCTTCCAGCTTTTCTGTGGCTTATTATAGATGACAAGTCTTAGTTAGTAGCACAGCGTGGAAGTATTGAATTCAAAGAATGATGGCTGAAGCAGTTGAGGACTATTAAAAGACCCAACATGCTCTGTTTGGGCAACCCCAAGAAACAAATGTATCTTTAGTCCTTTAACAAACATCCGTTCCCAGACTGACTGCAATTACATCAATTCCTTCCAACTGTGTTGATCCAAAGAAACTAAGTCTCTGCGGCTGGGCGTTGTACATATCTTATGCACATATTATACTGGAACTAATTGGATTATTAGAAAAGGAAACTTTAGTGACAACTGATCATCTGCCATAAAAGTGAGTGCATATGCACTGAAGGCTTGGAGCCAGAGAATCTAACAAACAAAGTGGTGCAAAAATAAAGCCCTGCCTGGCTTAAATAAGTATTTTTAGATGTCAGATCATCGAGTCTGCATTCTTCCACTCATTCCAGTATAAACAGTTCCTGTTGTCATCCAATGGCAGGATACTGCACACATTTGATAAGCCTAATCCTCTTACTGCTTTTACTGCACTTTACTCATCAGTCTGTTAAAGAAATATGGAAAACCAACATAGTAAACTCACTGGTGAACTTGTCAATATTTTTGTTTTTCATTTGGGTCTATTGGAAAGTTTTCTCCTAACAGCACTTTCCCCACCATTTGGCTCTGTGTTTGTGCTATGCATAAAACAACTCTCCACTGTCAGAGTAAGCTGGTACAAACAGAACGAGAAAAAGATCTGCCTGAACAAGAGGTGGCAGCTGTCCGTGCAGATAGTGCCAATTTCCAAACAAAGCTCTGTGTCCAGTCAGTAGAGTCAAGTGGTTGAAGAGAGGATGACCAGCAAGGCAAAAGTGGGGAGCACTAACAAACATGCTACAATAAGAAATGCTGGAGGGGAAAAAAATATAAACACTATGGGCCCTATTTTAACTATTTGAAAAAGCGCGAAGCCCAAGTAACTTTGTGGGCGAGTCGTGGGCGTTGTTGCTATTTTACTGGCAGGATAAATGACTCTTGCGCCCGACGCAAGTTTAAAAAGGGGCTGGTCTGAAATAGCTTCATTATTCATAGGTGTGGTTTGGGCGTAACGTGAAAAACAAATGAGAGCATCATCCAACATACCCTTTAATGCAGGTGCGCATGTTGCATGGCGGATTGTTATTATTATGGCGAGTTTACCAGGTGGACGCAAGGAGCGGTTCACAGCCGAGGACGAGGAGACGAACGTTCTTGCCAGGGCAGTGAAAGACAGAAGTGACGTTGTATGGGGATGGGAGAAACCCACCCAAATCAAATCAGCGTCGGTTAATCAGGCGGGGGAGGAAAAAAACTACATCTTCATGGACACCACAATGATTTCGCTCATGTGTTAATATTTTTTCTTGTTAATTATCTTACAATTTTTAGGCAACATGTCTTAATGACCTCTCACCTTGGAAACAAGAGTCAGGCATGGCAGACACCAAGTTATTCTGACTATTACCAGCATCTGACTGAGTTTACACATACTGTATTACACCATGGACAAATATGTAAACTGACAATGAAGAGTAAGCCAAATTACCAGTAGTTAATTCCTGCACAGAGAAACCAAGGCTATCTTTACTGGTGTCCTGTGTCAACGCTGCACAGTTGCTCCGATGAGCATCAGAATGACGTTAATTGAATTTTTAACTAATACTTTGGAGAATGTATTTGTGTTCTGGGATTCCTATAGCCTTTCAAAATAGAACATTCAGGATCAAAAAATTTCATTGTGACAAGTTGTGGGCACATGTTGATTGTACCATCATGCCAGAAACCATAAAATAGCCAACAGTTGTTCCTTCAGCATGAAGGATTACCAAAGCATGTGAGAATAACTAGACATAGAAATCAAAGCTTCCACACACATCTGCTTAACATTTCACAATAAAGAATCACACTGGTCAAATAACATCCCTTACTCAATACTCATGATTTATATTCACTGGCAAAAGATGTCTTCCCTCAAAATGCATTATGCGTCATCCTTGAAGAAACTTTGCAGTTCATACTTTTACATTTTTTTCTAAATTATCTTCCCTCAATCTTTAAGGAAATTTAGTATGCGACTAAAATAAGACTTTTTCTAATAGAAACCAGACAAAATGTAGTTTTCCGTGAAACGTGGACACAGCACAACAGATTCCTCTTGCATTCCACAGCAGAAGCTAATTTTATCACAATCTTTTTAATTTCCACAGCAGGTGCATCAATACTACTTATTATATGAAAGTTGTCTTGATATCAGTTTTCTCTTTTTGGGCCAATATGTGAGGTGTGAATTTAATGACACATTGATCTGATACTGACAACAGGAAGTATTGAGGCATTGCTTTAGTAAAAGATATCCATGCATAATCCAATTTATGAGCTCCGAAAACTCAGCAGCCAAGTCCAGCAGAGTCACTGGACAGCACATGATGACAGTCATTACCATTCCAGGGATTGACAGCATTGAGATTCACCCACCTCTGGCCAGTGTTGAACACATGTACAGGATTTCTTCACACACAAAGACATGCAGAGTTCACAGAGCTCATCTGACCTGAGCAGGAGCCCTACATACACTAACTAAAAGCTGCAAAATCCATTCAGCATCCTCTTGTGGCTAAACCGGGAAAAAGTTGTTTAACCCTCTCTTAGACACTGTTAAAAAAAACAGATAATCACCCTCAAATCTGCGGTTTCTATGTTAAACTATGTAAAAATTAGGGCTGTGCAAAAGTTAATTGCGATTAATCGCATCCAAAATAAAAAAGTCTGTTTTACATAATATATTTGTGTGTGCTGTATATAATTATTTTGTATATATAAATACCTATGCATGCATGTATATATTTAAGAATTATTTGCGCTTGAATTCTGTATATATATATATATATATATAAATACATAATCTATATTATACAAATATAAATATTTTATATAGGAATAACACATTTTCTTAAACATATACATGCATGTGTGTGTATTTATATATACAAAATAATTATATACAGCACACACAAATATACTATGTAAACACAGACTTTTATTTTGGATGCGATTAATCGCAATTAACTTTTGCACAGCCCTAGTAAAAATGTGTTTGGCATATACGTTTTACTACATGAAATGCTAACTATTTGAAAAATAAAACAAACTGTTATGTTTGTATTTGTGATATGAGGGATTGATGGATTTGAGACTCCGTATGAAAATTGGTAGAATACAAATTTAGACTGAGTGGCCCTGGATACAACAGTCTGCAAGGTGATAGATCAAGGGTCATGCTACATTGTGAAGAGACTTCTGAACACAGGTGCTTTACCTTCTTAGTGCTGACAGAGCGTCGCAGGGCCCTCGCATTCACTCCAGCTCTGTTATTGCTGCCACTCGCAGATGGCAGCGAGGCGGAAGGAGGGCTGCATGGGGAACCAAGGGCCGCAGTCATTCTGTCCGTCCCATTTATCTTTGAAGCAATGTTGTTGTTTTCTGTTAATACCAAAGTGCTTGTGCTCTTAAAATCGCCATGGCTTAGATCCATTTCTTCCCCGTTCTTGATTTTGTTGAGGTAGTCTTTTAGCATCGCCTGTGTACTTGGCTCACTCAACCAAAAGAGGAAGAGCTCGTCGACCTTCATCTTCAGGACAGGCTGAAGCGTTTGTGGTGATGCCATTTCTGGTTATCTTCATGCAGCCGAGATCCTCTCTCTCTCTCAAAAAATGATTAAAATGACCTAAAGAATAAAGTAGAAAACACAGTAAGACACCTTTGCCAAACTTAGATGTTTGAAACATGCACTAAGCAATTTACAAATGATTGATATATATATATATATATATATATATATATATATATATATATATATATATATATATATATATATATACACACACACACACACACACAAGAATTTCATGTAAATGTCAATCAGAACATAAAAAGCACAAACAAACGCTTGCTTATCATCAAATACAAAGTAACAAATTATTGTTTGAAACTAGCTGCAACTGAAAAACTGTGGTAACAATGCTAGAAATTCAACTCGATAGCGAATGGGTTTTACAGACGTCATATTTTACGTTACTAAGTTACGTTATGATTTTACATAATAAATGCGGTTGCTATGATATTGTGGAGTAAACTATGGTTACTAAACATCTACCGCGTAGGACAAAACTAGAAAACACGCTAATATCACTTTGTTTTTCCTCACAATTCCACACATAAGCCAGAAGAAAGTGTTTAAAAAGAACCAATACTGAAATATGACAGGACTAAGATGGTTTATTAGCTGTTGCTAGCTGACTCTACGAAGCACATCTTTCCAAAGCTAACGGATAACGGGTAAATAATTAGATAAACACCACCACAAAGATAAATAAACGTATATTTAATCCGTAAACAGTACAGATATAAAGGCAACTAGTTTGCATTACTCTACCTCCTGTTATTAAGATGACTTTCTGTTGTTTTCGTTCATTCATATAAGGGTACACTTTGAATCAAACTCTCGTTTCCTCAGGTAACCGGGAAAAGTTTATATCGCGAGAGTTGCGTGACGTCCATTCGCGAACGAGTCGTTCGTTTGAAATGATTCTTTTAAAGAATCAAGCAAACCGATTCGCAAGAAGAAAGTGCTCGAATCGTGTGAGTTGCCGTTTGAAAGGATAGCAGAGAGCCTTTCTTATTCTTATGGGGAAAAAGTCCGTTTTTGTCACTCTTCTGAAGACATTTCATTTCATTTACTTGTTTTGGCAATGTACAGATAAATTGTGGTTAGATTTGATAATGTTCATCCAGTCTTAGTTATTTTGTAAGACTTGCCTTTCTGTTTTTATATTTTAGGCTACTCAAAAGAGAATATAGGGAAACATTATTAATGTGTGCTTCTTACTTGCTAAATTTCACAACAGAAATGTAGCCTACTGCTTCTAAAACATTTTCATATCGAAAGATCTGGAAACTATAATTTTCACGAATGCTCTTGAACTATTATAATTTATGTATTTAGCTACTCAGTCTTCATGTTTTTTCGTCATCACAATTTTTATATGAGGGAAAATATGTCTGTTCAATCATAGCTATATAATTTTTACTCATAAATAAAATGTGTTTTATTCATCTGATGTACCCTGTTACTAAATAAACTAAGTTTCTCTTACTACGCTCACTTGCTTTACTTATTTAATAGCCAATGTGAACATATTCTGTTTAAGAGTAGAATATTAGTTAAATATGACGCTGAACAAAAAGGTATCAAAGTGCAGTGGAAATTGCATTAGACTACTGCATTAGTGCTAGCAGTGTCCTGATAAATTAATTCTAATGGCCAAAATGTTAGACTGATCAAACTAATAATATGGAGCCCCCTGTAATGTTCCTGAAATTTACAGTAACACCACATTAGGCATTGCACTTAACAGAAAGAAACTTCTTGTAGGCCTAAATCTAATGATTGCTGTGTATAAATTGTTTAAACAAAGACTACTGCTGCAATACCATTATGCTTCGGGAAACACAGAAACCATATGATCTACAGCACAGTCTGAAATCCTTTAATAGTTATTCCACCCTGTACCTCATGATTTTTAATAAAAGCACAAAAGGACACCCACCCTCTTTATTAAAAAAAAAAAAAACATTTAGATTTGTAATTCACATAATAAATCAATGCTTGGTGGGAAGAACAGATTTCACAAGACACTTCAATTGCTCTCAGATGTTTGGTTTCTTTATTTGAGATCACAATGGGGAATGGGAATGATGATCATGCCTTTGAAAATCCATGGAGATTTTCTCATGCTATATTGATGTTAATGGTACATATGGAGGAGGAACTTTCATTGCCCAATATCATTTGAAAAAAGAAAATAATAGTAGAAAATGATGCATCATGATCGAGTTGACTTGTAATTGCACCTGTCTTTTTATTTTTACATTTCAGAAAATAAGTGTCTGATTTAACTCTGAATAGATGAATAGGGAATTAGTGTATGACCTGCAGAGATCATACTTCACCAGAGCACACATACACACAAGAATTACTGGACTTAGTCCCATAATGATTAGAATGATATATCAGGTATGCATTAACCACACACACACTGTTTCAGATGACTGTGCAAAAGCTTTTACATTTGGGGAAACTTTCAGAATTTGGACTTCAGCGCTGGTTATGCTTTACAAGCATGTTGCATGCGAACTGCATTAAAAAAACATTGAATTTTGAGTTCACAGAGAAGTTTAATATTTGTTTTAAAGCAAGGTACTGACCTGTAAACATAATTGTGCGCATATTCCTTTTATTGTTTTATTTAATCACACTCAAGTACCAAGGTCAAATAGCATGTCATCAATATTAATCGAAGAACATCACGGTATTTAAAGCTATTTGTTTGTTGACGTGCTATTAAAAGGCAGATAAGCCAGTTTCCTTTCAAGATAAAAAGGAGTGGACATTACATCATGGCGTGAATTATTTCATGCATTAACTAAATTGCCCCCTAAATGCTTCCTACAAAAATGAGTAACCTATTTTAGAAAAATGTGTTTCATCTATTAATTGACTTGAGATTTCAATCTTGTTTTTCCCCCCTCAAACATGAGAAGAAAAGTTGTCCGATTGCCCCCAATGCTGGACAAAGAGCCGTTTATTTCCCTGACATGCCCGCATGCTGCCATGTGAATGTGGAAATAGGTTTTGGTTATTTTTTGCCAAAGACGTTACAGCATATTCATCCCTGGTAAAAAAAAAAAAAAAAAAAAAAAAAAAAAAAGGTAAAAGAGGCTTGTTGAGCCCTCCAAGGGCCTGGGGACCCGGGCCCCACCTTTGAACATGCATCACATCAGTCTTTCATTTCAGCTCCCAGAATTTCATCATTCATTTCACATTATCTGAAGCTCTCTCATAGGGAGCTTTGCTCGCTGTCGAGACGCCTCTGTTGCTTCAAGATCTGTTTGAATAATTCAGAAAAAGCAGGAGAAGATTAGAAGGCATTGGATTTGACTGAGTGAAGAATCAGTCCAACAACTCCCATCATAGTTATCAGTGGATCTGTGCTCAGGCTGACTGTGGTAGCTGTGGTTCAGATGTATTTACTGTGGTGTAATATCTCATTGATGTGAGTGACAAGGTGTAGATTGAGAATTTAACTCACCTCTGCGTCACGAAAATCAATGAAAGCATAAATACAGTTTAAATGTTGTAATTCAGGGCTACAGTCTGAGCTCAGCACAGCTCATGTTCAGATTTTTAGAGTGCGAACGATCTGACGAATGTGAGCTGAAACTGTGTAATGGACTACCAAAAAGGCAATGGTTTCAAATAAAGAGTCGGACCTGAAATACATCTTTAAAAAAATGTTTTTCAAACATTTTTTAAGGCTGATCAAAGTAGACAGACAAGGTTAATTAATAATGAACAGTTGAAGAGTTCAGATGCAAAAGCCTCTAAATGCCATTTGAAATTTTCTTCTTTAATGATGATTTTTATCAAACTTGTATATTTAAGTTCAGTAATTTCACTTAAATAACAATTGATAGGTAATTATCATTGCCATTTAAGTGAAATCACTGAACTTAAATATACAAGCTTGATAAAAATGATCATTCTAGAAGAAAATTTCAAATGGCATTTAGAGGCTTTTGCATCTGAACTCTTCAGTTATAAAGTTAATCTATTTTTTGTGTAGGTAAAATGAAACTTTTATTCACCAATATGCACAGAAAAAGAAGTAGCTTATGTAATAACATTGAAGAGACTGCAATTAAAAACCATTAATGACCTACAAAATCAGAGCTTAAATTGAACGAGGCAAATTGTCATCAGTAATTGTAATCATTATTTTTTTTTCTGCCTAAGTTTTAATAATAACATTTAATGTGAGCAATTATGTTATCATTATTTTAAACGGGCCACAATTTGTCATGAAATTAGTAACACATTGAAAATATATATTTTTTTAATGAGAAAGAAAATTCAGTGATGTCTTATCAAAGGCAGCTAACTGTGATCTTTCAATCGAGCCAATATTCTCTTTATCTCTGCCAAAGAATGACTCCTTTGACTACAGCAGTATCTAATTTGTGAGCATCTTCTTCAGGATATGTGATAAAAATTCCAGAAGTGTTTCCATCTGATTGCTATCCAGGGACATGCGAATATTACACATAGGTAACCAACATTAAAATGTAGCCTATCTAAATAAAAAATTTAAATATACACAAAAAAAGTCCCCACAAGGATTTTGGATATTATTAGCCTACTATTTTTTGGGGGACATTTTGTCGATAAAAGACATTTTGAATATATATCTGAAGGTCAGGGCCTTCTGTCAGATCACATGATCATGTTCGAACTTAGGCCTATTCCTAAAACATAATTCCACCTCACATTATCGGAGACGTTGTCTTGACGTCTGGGATATAAAGATCTGGTTCTTATTAGGCCGTGAGACAATCCTCTCAAAGTGCTTCAGAAACAAATGTATGCTACCATGGCAACAGATATGTCTGACTGCATGGTAAAAAGATACTTTAAAAAATCTTTCTGAGGACAGTATCAGCCAACATATCGAGGTAGTAGCCTATCTGTTTGATTCGTGCTGAAAAGGACACACTTTTCACATCACAGGAGGCTAAAACCTTGGCCCAGCTCCCTAAAATGGATGAAAACAAGCCATCTAGTCAGACAGAATCAATGTAAAGCCATTACATTAGCAACCCGGGGAGTAGGCAGCATGTGTGTGTACCTGTGTAGCATATAGACAATGGAGGCGCCAGTGATGGCCTTCTCTGCTCTTCTCGAGCATCTGCGGAAATCTGCAACTGGCCTTGCAGGAGTCTGATGGCTACATATGCTACAGAATCACTCAGATGTGGAATATCAAAAAACGTGTCTTAAACTGTCTGTAGGCAACCTGTGTGGGACTCAGGCACAGAGAAGAAGAATGTGTCATGTGTGTGCGTGTGCTTATTAAAGGTCTGATATTGCACGTGAGCCCTCCTACCGAAATTACATCCCTTGTCTGTGTTACTGCTAATCACTGACAGAGCACGTTGTTCACAGCAGGGAAAAAGAGGAAAGAAGAGGGCCATCGAGAACAAGCCTGACTGATTCCCACTGAGCTAGTTTGTGCAGGATATGCGAATAATTCCTCTTATTTGCATGTTTGATTTGCAACCATGGTTTGCTCGTTTTTGCTGTTCTTTGTTCTTGTTTACTCAAATTGCGAGACAATTGAACGACACGCACGTTGTATGAGATCAACAGAGGCTTTTTAAAAATTGCCTCCATTACATAATTTAATTATGAATGTTAGACTTTTTTAATGATTGAATATTATATCTAGAAAGTATGCAGACTATCCTCACTGGAACAGATAGTCAGAAGTTTGAGGACTGGCATACACCGTCAGAAAGCACTGTTGCATAATTACAGCACTAGATGGCAGTACACGCTATTTATATCTTCAAACAGAACTCAAGAGATTTTACTTAATAATACTCTGAGACACCGAGGTTATGA